GTGGTTCATTGGAGATAAGAGTCTCTTGGACGTTTTTGCCCAGGCTGGCTTTGAACCTCAATTCTCAGCTCTCAGCCTTCTGAGTAGTGAAAATTACAGATGTTAGCCATGGGCGCCCAGCTCTGGGACTCTTCCTTTGGGGTGGGCACCAGGCAGGTATGGTTTCGGGAGAAAGAACAAATGTACCTGTGAGCTGTCACTTGGCCTCCATTTCCCTATCTGTACCATGTGGGATGGATCCATGGTGGCTTAGACACCTCCCAAACCACAACCCAGTCTCCAGAAACAAAGCCTAGAGCCAAGGTAGGCGGGGTGTGGGGGTACAGGATGGGGGGTGTGAAGCGCCAGCTGCCCTCCCTCTTTGGGACTAGGCACTCTCTGATGCCCCTCCAGTTCCACCCTGCCACACACATTTTTCTTAGTTCCCTCAGAAAATGTCACCAAGGATCCTTCTTTGGCTGGGTTGTGTGGATCTCTGGAAACAAATTCCACTTGCTTTCCTCACCCTGCCCACCAGGGGCTGGGGGCTGTAAAACCATCATTCCTTTGGCAGAAAGGAACGGCTCAGCTCGCTCCAAAGAAGGCAGCCCAGTCCTTCCAATGGCAGCAAGGGGTGGGTAGGCAGAGCATGGGGGGGTGTTGAGTCTCCCCCCCCCCGTGAGGTCCAAGGTGAGAGTCCCCACAGGGCGGCGGTGGGCGCGGGGAGGGGCCGGGCTGCGCAGTCCCTCAGCCTCTGGCCCGGCTCGGCTTGTCGCAGCAGACTGTGCTGATCGCTCCCCCAGGGACTGGATTGGCATTTTCATTCTCTCTGTGCGGCCTCGCAGTCTGTGACAGTCCCCGCAGCCCCTCCCGAACGCTCCTCTGCGACCCCTTTTCTCTGGCATCTGCTTGCTACAAAGAAATCATCAGCCCCTGGAGTTTACAAATGCTTTTATGGAGACCAGAAAAAACCAACACAAAGCTCTGGGGCTTGTAAGTCTGGTCAGAGCCCCCCCTCCCGCCCCTCTCCCCTCGCCCACCCCACCGCTGCCGTGCGGGATTCCCTTGAAGGGGACCCCTGTCAGAGAGACCCTGCTGGAGCTCTCGAGCTGGCGGAGGCAGAAGCACCCGTGGCAGAGTAGGAGAAAGGACGGGAAAGGCTGTCGCTAGGACTTTCAAGAACAGAACTTTTCTGCTGGAGTTCCGCCGGGGGCAGGTGTGTCTTCCGTGAGCAGAGGCAAGAAAGCAGAGCTCAGAGAAAGCGCGGGGTGGGGTTGGGGGGAGGCTGGGATTCTGCCCCTCTGCACAGAGACTGGCCTTTCAGGCTAAGCCAGTGGCCACGGACTGTTATTCCCCTGGGTGAGGATGCCAGCCTCCCTCCCTTTCCACGGAGGACAGGGGCAGGAAGAAGCCTGGGTGGGAAGGAGTCTAGGTGGGGGCGGCCCCTCTTGTGCTCTCTGCAGCTACTCCCTTCCATTGACTTGAACAGGAGTCTGGGAGGGTTTTATCCAGTCCAAGACACCTGTGTCTTCCATGGGCTCCGGCTGAGAACCTACCCCTCCCAGGTCTGCCTGCTATGAGAACTAATCTTGGAGACTGAAGTCAGGGGCCCCTAGAGGAGGGAAGAGAGGATGGAGGGCCAGAGAGACCTTGGTGACAGCAGCTACTCAGGCTCTCAGCTGCTGGCCATGGTCTTATTCTTGCTCTAGCCAGGGAGGGACCTAGCACAAAACACCTGCTGTGCTATACTCAGTTTATTGGCTTGAGGGAAGACCCCGGGGAAGCCACAGGGACTACAAAAATCCAGGGGCATGTGGCATGTAGCAGGCAGCCCAAACACTCCCTTCAGTGCACCTTGAAGCCATTTCCAACAGTGTCCCCCTTCAGAAGGGGGTGTGTGTCCCCTCCTTCCACTCCCCATCTCCCTCAGGGTAGAACCAGCATATAGCAGCTCCAAGGAGCTCTGGCTCCAGGAACCTGTATGCAACCTTCTTCCCTAAGCTCAACAGTGTGTCTTCAAGTGGTCAGACGGGCCCTGGGGACAGGGCCTCATCTCCAGGTTCCCAAACGCACACTCTCCCCCAAGTACTGTGGAGAACGAGAAGACTGTGACTGGGCAGACACAAGCTCACTGTACTGCACCAGAGATATAGTAGACTGTGTGTGTGTGTGTGTGTGTGTGTGTGTGTGCCGTGCATGCACTGGTACAGGTGGCTTGAGCTCAGGACCTGGGCACTGTCCCTTAGCTTTGTCACTCAAGTCTAGCATTCTGCCACTTAAGCCACAGCTCCACAACAGCAGCAGAGATCTAGATGGGATTTCATCATCTATGCAAATTAAGCATCCTGCCAAAGACCATCCCCAAATCCTGACCCTCTTTCAGGGGGCTGGCTGCAGAGGACAGTCCCCCTACCTCTTTCTCTCCCGGTTTGGTTTTTTGAGGATTTTTTAATTTTTTAATTTTAATTTATTCTTTTGGTTTTTTTTCCCCCTGAGCTTATGGATTGGGGAGGGGGCTTCCCTGGAGACTGGAGGGTTTCATCCGTGGCTGGGCTGTGAGCGGGGGACTGGCATCGAGGGGGTGAGGCCTGTAGAGGCCCTTCTCTAGGGACCGAGCAGGTATCTGTAGGAGTGGTCATGGCTGACCCCTCCCCACGACCCCCCCCGGGCCGGGGTCTCCTGGGTGGGGGTCTGGAATATTGCTCTTCTTGTGTGTGGCTGCGCGCAAGTGACACATTGGTGCGATTGTCAGTGCGCAGCACCAAGATGGATCCTCGGCGTGTCGGGAGCCTTGGGTGCTGGGAGACTTGATGCTTGTGTTGTTCTGAGCATGTGACCAAGAGCCTCATTATGTGTGCGTGGGGGGGGGGGCGCCAGCGCGGGTACCGGTGACTCTTGGGCTGTGTATGTGTTTATATTTCAGTGTGACACCGGCGTGCGCGGGCGGAGGGGATTGGACGCTGGGGCCTCGGCGGGGGGCTTGGGGGCCGCCCCATCTGGTCAGGTGTGCGCTCGCTCCGCCTGTCTCCCTGTGGAAGACACGCACCTGCCCGAAGAAGCCCCAGATCTCCGAGCTGCGCCTAGCCACTGCTTGGGGACGGTGACCGAGGGTCCGGGAGACCCCTGGGGTGTGACCCCTGCCCTCTGCGGGGGTGTGATTGTGTTGTCGTGTGTGTTACGGTTGCACGTGTGTAGGCCCCGCCAGGGGGTCTTCAGGACCCCTGCCCCACCATGGCCCGGGAGTACAAGGACTTGCGACTCTTCCTGGCAGTTTTCGTGAGTGCCTGTGTGATCATGTGCATTTTCCACGTCTTCGTGCTGTGTGTCTGGATCCTGCTGGGTCTGTGAGGCGCGGGGCGCGCGTGCGGGACGTCCCGTGTGCGTGCGGGACGTCCCGCGTGTGGGTGTGCGA